GGAGCATTTCATGCCTGTGCTCAAGTTGAAGGTATTACTGGCGCGTACTGTATAAAGGATGCGAATTTTCACACGTTTTCATCACCGGAAAAAAGTGATTAGGGATAGCAATCCTGAACGCTCGCAACGTCCGTCCGCAACCCGCGACGCCGTTAAAAGGCTGCGCCAGGCAAAAGTCACTCATTTCTTTCAAAATGTGTGACACACTTGAGAGAGAAGTGTACTAGTCTAGTGAAATAAAGGCTTTCCTCAAACTAAGCTTTATTCTTCATCTAACATAAAATAAGTTGTCTCATGGCATGTATTTTGGCCTGAAAAATTGATGTTTTGGTAATAGCGCGGTACCGCTTATAGTGCGGATTTTCGCGACTCCCGCGACATACGTTATATGCGGTCTGCACTGTAATGACCAATTTGACTCCCTGCTTGTAACCCCTCTTTGTGACTGCTTTGTGGCAGCGTTGATCACCAAATGTAGCGGATGGTTGGCGTTGATGGGCACCGCTACAACTGTTTTGGTGCTTGGAGCTTGCGTTTGGGACGGCGATAACGATTTTCCATGTTTAAAAAATTATATTTTTCTCTACGTTTTGAAACAAAAACGACAAGACACACTGCAAGCACGTTTCACATCAATCGCTCATCACGCCACATTTCTTCCCCAATGATCAACCGCCGTATTTTCTTTCTTTGGTTGTTCTTCCTTAAAATCACATTTACGTCTATCGTAAAGGAACCAATGTGGTCTCATCATTACGAGCAGTAGCTCAGCAGTAAATGCAAATTCCTGTATGCCCGTTCAAGAACCATAAACATCACACAACACGCCCATCGTCCCGCTCCTTCCTGAAAAGAGTTTCGTTGGCTTCACCGTCGGTGTATGGTACGGTCAATCCTTTCTCCCGTGGCAGTGCCCAATTGTCACGCAACTTTCGAGAAACTGCCAGATTGAGCGAAAGTTTCCTATTTTGGGATTGGTCTTCCCCTTTTGGTGCGGGACTGTGGCGCCGGTCAGCGCCGGAGACGTAGAGCATCGTCTTTTGGCGCACTTCGGGTCCAGCGGCGCGATTTGAGTCTCAAACCGGTACGAAAACTATTGCCCCGGTGGGAATGCCACCTGGTGCTCCCGTTAGGACGGGGGAAAAAGCGGCTGTGTGAATGAGGCCTAACAGAGTTTCCTAAGGTCAACACCGTGAAAGGCTGCTAATGAATGCTTTAGCAGGGCCAATAGTTAAAAAAATTTCCACTTGGCCTAGGATGGATCATTGAAACATCTCTCGAGTACTTACTTTTTTAAAAGAAAGCAATAGAGACAATGTTGCTTGTTTTTTTACAATATTGCTTGTTTGTATTCTATGCGTCATAGCAGGGGGTTTACCTGTCGGAAATTTTCACAAAATGCTAGTGTCCTCGAAGATCAAACACGCACTAAACTGGCAATTTCATTTGTTTTCTGCAATTCAGCTCATTGTTAGTCAGGTTGCCGACCTCCTTTTTCACTGTGCCTCCATGCATTAGCCTCTTTATTGGTTTATTTTTATCGAAACAAGTGCCAGCCAGTACGTCCAGTACGGCTGTAGAATCGGCAATCTTCCTCTTGCATCATTTCAGTCGTTTCGCTGCCGAACTTGGCTGAACGATGAACATGATCAGATAAAGGTGTTCGTAAAAACGTCTATAATTTATGCTCATAAACACCTAGTTCTCAAGGTGGCCCATTACCACTGTATCATTGGTTGTGTACAACAAGGCATATATTTATATCACAAAACTACGCAAAACGACATAACACAGCCACCAACCCGCTGAAACCAAAACCAACCACATTGAAGCCACCTTATGGCGCCGCGTGTGTCAGAGCCCTCTGTCCACTTGTCAGGTAACGACTGAGATGAAAAGGTCTATAGGGCGTCTGAAATGCCGAGGCTCGATCTAAAATGGACCGTAAAAATCGGCGCCTGCATGTATGACTCGTTTTTCATCGAAGGTGTATTTCACAAGTGGGTTTTACCTTTTAAAATTACTATGTGTAGCTATCTTTCTGTAGAAAAAAAATAGGGCCAAAAACTTGCCAGGGTCAATGGCAGACGGCGACGCAGGCGACCAAGTCAAGTGGAGGGGCACGTTTGGCGTACATGTTGATAGATGGCGTTGGGAGCAGGCGTCGGAAGGTCTAGCTGACCAGCGAAAGAAAGCAGACGACATGCAGGCGAAATGCGTCGGCAGCAAGAGTGCCGTCGTTATGCAGCCACATTTTCTTTTATTTTTGTCACTTCAGTTTTGCTATCATTTTCCACATTTATTTTTATACCAAAGGAACATTACAAAAAAATTGTGCTCATTTTAATGGACCACGGTCATTGCGGGCAGTCTATATTTTTTCAAAACAAGCCGGAACTAGAGTAATTGGAACATACACAGTTACTCTAGCCAGAACAAGGAGGTAGTGCTATCTATCATTGTCTCTTTCCGCCCGAAAACCAGGTGGTTTTCGAGCGGAAAGAAAACAAATTTCGAGCTGCAAATTGTGTTCTGGGTAGTTGGGCTCTTATATGTCATGTTCAAATAAAAACCTTGGCGAGCATAAATACTCCGTCAGTGTCCCTTTAAAATAAAGTACAAATTAAATGAGAGGTCATGTACTTCAAGTAATGTAGCTAGTGCACAGGGTGGAATGTTCTTGAAGTAAAGTGCACATACTCTTTAATGCAATCTTTCATGATGCCCTTTCATTCCCCTATACAGTGATTTTTAACTGGTATGTATTGCCCCAGGGGTAATTGTGGGTGCATCACATATTTTCAGAAATGGTGGTGAATATTGGGTGAAGTCAGGTGGCCACAGAATAGTAGTTATTTTTGGAAATGGTGCCCAGTTCAGAAGTTCCTATGACTTCTGAATTTGGTGCCGCTTGCCCCAGCTTGTTGCATATAAGGGGGTTAAACATACTAGGAGAGAGCATGACGTCATCCGTGTACCTTCCGCAAGCAATCCTCCCGTGGAGCAGTGTCCTCTCCTTAACGAAAAGTAATGAGTGTGCAGGCAAGCTGGTGATAATTAATCATAATGTGACACCTGAGACTGGTGCGGAAAAATTAAGGAACTTTCATGTTGAAGGAGAAGACAACAGAGGAGAGCGCCTCAAAGCATTGAGACATTCTCACTTGTTGTCTTTTTCTTTGACTTGAAAGTCTTATAAGTTTTCTGCATCACAGTTTCAGGTGTTACATTATGATTAATTGTCCCCTTCAATATATTTAACCTCCTCGCTTGTGCTGACCGAGGCAGAAGTAGCGAAAGTTCGATAAGCTGCAGGAAAGCCTCCCCCAGAACAAACGAAGCGATGCGTCTATAGCTTACGTTTCTGGTGAGGGTAGTATATCCCCCCCAGTATTTCTTCAGAGTTGACAAAGCGTTATTTTGTGATACAAATTTAACGGGACCAAATTTGGAGAATGTACTTTGAAGTCGGGTGTTATACTTTTCTCGGGAAGTAGCAGACACGATACTTTGAGTAAAGTACAAGTACACACTCTGAGTATGTACTTCAAGTAAAGTACATTCTCTGTTTTCTCAAGTTTTCTAAACCTGCTTGAAGTAGTGCTTTAAGTACAATGTACTTAAAGGGGCCCTGCAAGGACTTTTTTACTGTTTTTTAATTTGCACCGAACCTGAGCGCACTGAACATAGTAACTTATTGAAACATTTTTTTTTTCTCGAATTTTGCTTTATTTTAAAAGTTATAGGCAAATTAAAATTACAAAGACAAGCAAAAAATAACCTCCTTCATGGCGTTCTTGGTCGCTTGAGTGGCCGTGAGCTAGGGGAGGGGTAGTGAGCTCAGCGAGCGCTCACGGCTGCCGCACTCCGTGTCGACGGCTCAAGCGGGCGCCACTAAAGCATGTGCTGAATAGACTGTATGAAGCTGTATTTCCTTAACATCCAGGTGTCATATCTTGCTCTAAATCAGGACTTCTGGTCTGAGTCCCACTGACGTGCAGACACTGAAGTTGATAGAAGGCTTGCAGGATTCACATAGTTTTCATCACTCCTGTCACTGGCCCTTCAAACTATCATCTGATTCCTAAGAATTGGAAAGGCTGAAGAATTTGTCGTAACATATGCCTGAGCATTAATCCCATTCAAAAAGAAGGTTTTGTATCTCTTTGTCGCCTAAAGTGTACCTCCATGCCAAAGCCATGTTGTTTTAGTGTGAACGCTCGCAAGCGACTGCTTTTTTTTTTTGTGGCTAAATTGAGTGTTCTCTCTGTCAAACAGCAAAACAAATGAGCAGACACCCCAAGGTAAATGGAGCAATAGGGGTGCTTTTGCCATCTGCCAGAGAGTGCTCTAAACAAGCGCCGAAACAGAAACGCGAGTCACACACGTGGTTTGGCCTTATGTTCCATAAAGGGTGGCATGATTGACACTGATTATTAGTAGGCGAGGGGTTAAACCACAGTTTTTTTTTTATGTTAGTGATTGTGATGGATCATGTGATAGGGTGGGTTTGTATTATAAATTCTGAAGCACTTTGCACCAAACAGATGATTTTATCTTTTAAATTTATTGTAAAAATGGCAACAAATGTAACGAGATACCTAAGTCTGGCAAAGTATCGCGATACAAGTGTTACATAGTAAATGTATTTCACTACTAAGATACGTATACATTTTTCAAATGTATTTGTATCTTGAAAGTATCTCTAAGATACTATCGCGATACATTTGTATCGCGATACTGCTCAGCCCTGATTCAGAGACACTTCCTTCTCTAAAAACCGACGTAACCTTAAAATCCAGAAAATGTAGTGGAGTTACCCTTGAAAGTACTTCCCAACACTGCTTTTTTCTCATTTTTCGGATCATATGTACAACCAACTCCTCGAACGACGAGTGAACTGGTGTTTTTTATGAGCCGTCGGCATCCCTCTTTGCTTTTTGTCTTGTGATTTCTTGCACAGCGAGGTTTTCACAATGCCCATTAAACCCTTTTTCCAGATTCTAGAATGCGGCGGCAGCTTGGTGGATGCCGTTTCCGTGGCTGTTAAGGCAGCCTTATATGACCTCAAGTGAGTCCAATCCACTGTGTAGTTTATTAGGGATTTATGCTTGGTGCTCTGTGAGAGGGTGATTAAACTGGTAAGCTGGTGAAAGTTTCCACCTTGAAAAGCAGATTGACACATAGTGGACTTTGTTTTCTTATAAAGCAGCTGTCCTGAAAAGTCATGGTTAGCTGTATTCAAGACGCTTTGTTGTGGAACTCCACATTGGTGTTTTATTTTTCTCTCAGTCCTTAGAGTTAGAGGGAAACACATTGGCATTGTGCCGTTGTATCGGTTTTCAGTGCTTTTTAGACCTCATACAACCGATACTAAAAACACAAAGTGTCAAAATAGACTAAATATGCACGAAGATAGACGCTGACAATGTTGCTGTCGCCATTTTCACAGGGCACCGCGTCCCAGTGTCCTGCGAAAATGGCGACAGCGGGAGTGTACGCATGCGCAGAAGCTTACTGGAAAAAGGTCCATTTAGATGTTTATCTCCTGGTCCTCACTGCTCGCCAAACTGGAACAATGGGGTCCTGGCAGTTGTGGGTAGTTTAGTTTTAGGGCTCATTTTCCAAGTGGCGAGCACAGTAGAGCCATTAAGTCTGGATGAAATGATTTTATAGCTTAGTGGTTAGTATGACAATAAGAGATATGTTTATGCATGTTTACATATGCAAAACTATAGACATTAACTTCTTGACGGTTGAGTTTTTTTCCCAAAAGATGTCTTCCAGTGGTTGAGTTTCATTTCCAAAGAAATAGTATAAGGAAAGGGTCATTGTGCAGGTGTTTTTGTCAGTTATCTTGCTGGAGCACATACACTGCTTCCAAGCTGTTCAATTATAATGAACATATTGAAGACAAAAAGGTGTCACCTTTCTTCCATTTGGTTTTATTATTGCACATCTGTTCCCGTGACATTCTGGCAGTTTCAGATTTTGAACTGGAGGTATTTTATAGAGCTTTTTTTATCAGGTGGTGAGCTATCATCCTCTGAATTAAATTCTGAGAAGCATTTAAAATTCTGAATTGGAAGAGCTGGCGCTCGAATTGCGTCTGCCGCCAGAAAAGCTGACATACGAAGCGACCATCTTGCGCACATCATGGACCCGGAGCGTCCAATTTTAAAACCATATTAAATAGCCCCACCAAAACGAAATAGCCTGCAAACATAACATTTATAGTTTGCCTAAGACATAACAAACAGCAACACCTCCTGCAGCGTGCACAGTTTCGTGTTTAAGCGCATAGACTTTAAAATTCATAATCGCTGCCGTGCATGTGTGACAACGACCGTCAAAGGGCTATATAGGCCTCTCGAAGCTCTTCACCTTACCACTCATGGCGAGGGCCGTAACTCTGCAAAGCTACCAAACACCTGCCTGTGCACGACAGTCTATGCGGTCCTCTGATCATGGGAGAAGAGACGTCTGAGTCGCTTGTGAATTGTCTCCAAACTTGTTTGATTTGCACTGGACGCTTTGCTGCAGGCTTGCTGGGGCAGATGACTGCCATGGCAGGTCCATGCACCTCTCGTGGTGTTTAGTGTTTCAATAAAAAAAAGCCATAGTTAGTGACAGGTTGAGAATGCAGGACATGCTCCGTTTACAGGCACAATGCGTCCGCTTCAAGTTGCTATGCTTTCGAGAAAATTAGGGGGACATTGTCGTGAGGCGGAAAAGTTAGTACCTGAGTTACTTCGTACGATATGGAGAATAGGGCCGGAAAATCTTCAATTTCGCGTTGTCGAGAGTGATGGCAGGAGACGATTGTAACTCTGTCCCACGACGCCTCCATGCGGGACAGGGGTGGGGCGAGGCAATCACTGCTTACCTGACTTACCTTGCGCTTGAATGGAGCAGTGGGACTGGGCAAGAGGGCTATGTTTCAGAGTTGAGAAAATACTGCTTTGTGTGCGTCATTCCAATATGCATCCTTTAAGCGTGAGACACATGCACGAAAAATCTATCCGATCCGGCAATACGACTGCCTGATCCGAAAAGTTTGGTCGCTTCAGACGTCAGATCGGCGATCCGACGTGCGTCCAACGCGCCAGATAGTTTTGCACGGCGGACGGTTTGTCGGAAGCGTCCAGCCAATGACAGCACAGCAAGCGCGAACATCAAGATGACACACTGGGTCTGGTAGGACGAACAAGAAAACCGGATTGACTTGGGCGGCAGGAAGCCGGACGTGTGAATCCCGCTGACCCATTCCAGAAAGATGGCCCAGCAAAGAATGCACGCGCTAGCGAGAACGAGCTCCTAATTTCGCTCGTGCGAACTGAACTGTCAGTCTGGTACCAGAGATCTGCCCTGTATACGAACGCGGACCTCTGCTGGAGCGCCTGCTTGGGCAGAGCCGAACGGATCGTCGTGTCGCATTCAAGGTCGCGTGTGTCTCAAACTGTCGTGTGCAACAATTCGGAGCGGCGTTCGGACTGTTGGATCGGACGATTCTGCCGTTCATGTGTCTCGTGCTTTATTTATTAAAGCCTGAAGAGAGCAATGAGGCAGCGTGGTAGTGGTGTTGCTTGAGCAATGTCGTACAGCATGCCACATCGATTGTGGTGACCGCAGCATTTTTACATCGCCCTAGAGAAACCATTTGGGAAGAAATAATCTTACCTCATACTGCTACGATTTTGTACCATAACTTGAGTTACAAATGAACGAAGAGGAGTCGTCAGCAACGACTATTGCTTCAGCCTATTTGCTTGACAATCACATTCAACACTTCAATGTCTACACAACTGTTGGATTCTCACATCAACAAACAGACACTACCGCATTAAGAGAGTGGATATTGGCACAAATTTGCAAGGTAAATCCAGGTAGGTAGAGAGCAGAAAAAAGACTGGAGTTCCTCGGTGTGGCCAACGCATGCACTGCCATTTGAAAAAAAGTGTGTTCGTAAAGTCGTGACATAGTGTTGTCAAGGAAACTGGCGGAAGCGATTGGCTGGTGTAGTAAAGGCTTGTTCACACACTTGCGTTTGACTGCAACCGACTAATACAAGACTGTGTTTAAGCCTCTTGCGACGGCTTATGACTGGCTGTGCAGCAAGCAGCTGGTCGTAAACTGTCGCAAGAGGCTTCAAGGAACTGTGCAACAATTTCAGTGCTTTCCTTAAATAATTTGGGAGTTGGTGTCTCGACCTTTCTGAAGTAAAAAACAAAAAACCCCTTTTGCCTGTATGTCCTAGTTTATATTTAAAAAAATGACAAATATTGAGGTTTCCAGCACCTCTCTACTCCTTCAGCATCTTCCTAGTCGTGTGCTATGACGTAAAAGGAGAACATGCGGGGTTCTGGTGAAACGCTCTCTCTAGAGCCATCAGTGAGCAGCGAGAACTCACCCGTTCGCAATCACGTGACCACGTGCTTGCGCAGCGCGATCAACATGGCGAAAGTGTGTGCTCGTCCAGGATTGGCCATCCCCGTCCGGCTCTGCCCCCGTCCCCCTCCGGCTTCTGGCGGCTTTTCATGGTGGCAGATAGTGCTGACAGTTTTGTTGAACGCGGATAGATGGCGCCACTAAAACTCCGTACAGTAAAAGTTTTGTCAATGATGCCAGGTTTTTGACACATTTATATTTTTTGTTGGAACAACAAACTTATAGAAAAATTACCTTTTATCGAGCAGGTATTTGCACAACTTGCTATCTTTTTACAAGTCCCCCTTTGACGTCACGCTGCGTGGTTCTTGTGGCTGCCGCTCGCAGCTGCAGGTCGGGAAATATTCTAATTACCTTGCGATTACGTGGCAGAATTGCTATATTTCGAAGGAAGGAAATGTGTTTTCTGTCCTTTGTGACAAGATGAACAATGTGAAAAGTAGAAGATGCAAATTCTTTCAGCATTAAAATCGTTGCACAGCTCCTTTAAAGGGGTGATGCAGCAATTTTTCTACTTACAATAAATACAACTTAGAATTATTCCTTGACATTTATGATCTATGAAATGCACGTCACCTTTTTTTTTTTCCTCTACACAATGGCAGTCACAAAAAAAGAAGAAAAACAAACACTGTTTATTTCCTCAACTCGCAGCCAGAAAAAGCGGCCACGTGACCTGGAGCCGATTATATGCCGCCAATATTTTTAACATAGCTACGTGCTGGGGTTGGCAGGGCACAGTGCTTGCTGAGTTCCACGCATTGTGAGGGTTCGGCTATTCCCGTCATTCCAGCGATTGGGCACGAGCCATTACCCGAATGCATGTCGAGGCATTGATTGTCACGGGCCAAAATCTAATGCCTACGCAGTCTTTGTGTCCATTGTATGAGCAGCATTTAAATATCATTACAGCAGGGATCGCAAAGCTTCATGATGCACTCCTGGGGATTGTATTGTCGGCATTGTCCCCAAGGCTCCGTCATCAAGTTTTGCGAAGGAGAGACTGAAAGAAAAAGCCGGCTTTAATCCTGGGAATTCCATCGCGACGAGGACGCTTCTCGGTCAGTGTAGTTGTGTTTGAGTATTCTTGAGTCCCACTAGTTGCAGTAAGCTGGTGTAAAGTGAGAAATGTTCCTACCCCCAATATCGTTGCACAGCCCCTTTAAAACTGGTCTTGTCTCATTCAGTCGTAGTAAAGCGCAAGTGTGTGAACGTGCCTTTATATGAATTCATTTAATGTGTACTTGCTGTTGCATTCTTTACCTGTAACTGACTATGGTGCAGATGGGAATACAGTTGAACCTCGATTTAACGAAGTCACCGGGACCCGTTAAATATTTCGTTAAATTCGGAACTTCGTAAAATCGAGGAATGGAGACCTCGCGCACAGGCTGCGTGGGGAATCCGAATTGGTTTGTTAAATCGGTAAATTCGTAAAATCGGGTTTCATTAAATTGAGGTTCAACTGTGTACCATGCCTTGCACTTCTTCGTTAGTATTAAAATGTTGCTGTGGTGGTTGGCGACAATTGCAGCTTGTATTTTCTGATAAGTTGCGAAAGCTTCATTTTTTAGAGATAATTCTAGGTGGGGAACTGAATCATGCTTGCATTTTGAACTTTTCAAAAGGATCCCCAAGGTTTCAGTGACGGTGGATGAAAATGGTGATCCAGAAGTGGAAGTTTCAGGCGATCCATTCGATGTTGAAAAGCTCAGCATTGAAAATGTGCCCTGCTTTATCACACTCTCAAAGGTAACAGTGCCAGTCCTTGTTATCTACAGATCACTCGTTTTAGTGGAGCTGCCTTCCTTCCTTTAGTGCTCTTTGATAATCGTTTAATTAATTTTAAAATTTCTTTTTGTGTCTTTTTTAACAAGAAATTGGTGTGTCTGATGTGATACTGCTCCCTTGAACACGAATAAACCAAGAAATAAGCGCCAAAATTCCGTTTTAGTATCCCTTTAAGGGGGACACAACCTGGGAATGTCAACTTTTGAACCGCTTGCTCAATCGGCATGATATTTGCAGGTGGTGTTTTTAGCCATATAGAAGGAGAGCATGCAAAGTTTCAGCCCTGTAAACCAATTTTATGAGGTAATATACCTCCAGAACATAGCTTTGCATGGAATCTGTTCGATGAATCTACCGTTGAGAAATTGTGTTTATTACCACATATTTTTCTTGTGGAATGCATACTGGAATACCTGTGCCAGTTGCTATGAACAGATATTTAAAATAATATGCATTTTCCAAGTAAAAAGAAAAAGTTATGAAATTTGTTTTTCTTTTTTTTTTCACATGTACCAAGTTTTGCTAATTACAATTTTTTAATAATAAAGGAACATGAAAATGCAAAATCTAAGTTCATAGTAACCGGCTCCATAAAATTTTGGCATATAAGCCGCAAATATTAAGTCTCGATAGTTTTATTAAAGGACCTGTGCAACAGTTTAAGTGCTTTGCTTAAATAATTTGGGAGTTGGTGTTTCAACCTTTCTGAAATAAAGAACAAAAAACTGATTTGCCTGCATGTCCTAGTTTTTATTTTAAAAACAAACAAAGATTGAGGTTTTCGGCACCTCTCAACTCCTTCACCATCTTCCGAGTCACGTGCGCTGTGACGTCAATGGGGGTTGCGGGGGTTCTGGTGAAGCTCTCTCTAGAGCCATCAGTGAGCAGCGAAAACTCATCCGCTTGCAACCGCGTGACCACGTACTGGCGGGCGCAGCGCAAACAATATGGTGAAAGGAGGAAAGTCTCATCCGGGGTCCGGCCATACCCGTCCGGCCCTGTCCCCCTCCCCCTCTGGCTTCTGGTGGCTGTTCGTGGTAGCAGATAGAGCTGACGGTTTTGTGGACCTAGGATAGATGGTGCCACTAAAACTCTGTATAATAAACGTTTTGTCTATGATACCGGTTTTTTGACGCATTTATATTTATGTTGGAATGACAAGACTTATAGAAAAGTTACCTTTTATCGAGCAGGTATTCGCACAACTTGCTGTCTTTCTACAAGACCCCCATTGACGTCATTCCGCGTGTTTCTCATGGCCGCCGCTCGCAGTTGCAGGTTGGGGAATATTCTGATATTTGTCTCGCGATTATGCGGCGGAATTGCCACATTTCGAAGGAAGGAGGTGTGTTTTCTGTCCTTTGTGACAAGGTGAACAATGTCAAAAGTAGAAGATGCCAATTCTTTCAACGTTAAAAACGTTGCACACTGCAGCTCCTTTAAAGGAGGAACTGGCGTGTTTCATATGTTCCTCTAGAAAGGGAGGAAAGTTCCTTCTACAAAATGGGGAGGAAATTTGCTCCCTTAAGAGGGGAGGAAAGTTTACACCTATTTTTGCTGTTGGATCAAAAGTTGCTCCCGTAAGTAAAGAGGGAAATTGCCACCCTTTTCCTCCCAATGGAGGAGACTGTCTCCCCTCGTGTAATTGATATTCCACCAGATGGTGCTCAAAATGTTAGAGAAGCTCCAGTGTATACTGTGTTGAAACACAGTACACTGGTGCTGAACATTGCAATCAAGCAATAGCTTGATTCCAATTGTTCAGCACGTGTGTAAGCTATTTTCAGTTTTGGTGGGGTAATCACTAATTTTAATGGTTGCACAAGTCTTTCAATTGAGCTTTCAAACAAGCAACATTACTACCGCTACCTTTTCTTTAGCGTTGGTGGACCGAAAATAATTTATAAAAAAATAACTATGTTGGTGTAAACAAATGAAACTTTCTGTGAATACTCTAGATGTTGGTGGATGTAAATATGGCATTTTTCAAAAGCAACCGTTTTTTGCAGACATTTTTTTTTTTAAGGTGTTGTGTTATCCCCCCCCCCCCCCCCCCCCCCCCCCCCCCCCGTTAATTGACTCTCAAGGTGTCTAAATTTAGATGAGAATTTCTGTCCTGATTGATAATAAGATTGAATGTTGCCTTGCCTGTAGGATGTATTCAAAATATGTACTATCAACTAGACCCTGTTTCAATTACCACAAAATATTGCAAAAATGCCTGGCTCCTAAGAAGTGTTGTCTTAAGAAATGAGGTATGTAGGAAGTTGGTTACCACTAGAAATAGAATGGAAGTGATTCTTCCTCAGATTTACTGGTTCATTAGGCTCTGAGCAGGGGCAGATGCAGGTATTTCCAGAGTGGGGGTCAGCATATCATATGTTTGATAGCCCCCGTTTCCCTGCCCTAAATTTTTACACATGCAGAATTCAAGAAGGAGGTTGGGACATCTGGACCCCCCCCCCCCCCCCCCCCCCCCCTCTGAATTTGCCACTGGCTTTTAGAATTTTTGTTTCTATAAGGCATCTGAATTTTATTCAGAATGATGCAACAGTGAAGATACCCCAGATTTCAATGTCATTGTGGCCTGGTGCTGCTCTAGAGCAAAATGTAATCCGATGAAGAAATTGTTATTGTTTCCTTAATATAGTATGCAACATTTTAATGACTATCAGCTAATGTGTGCTATCTAGGTGCAGTGAAAGTAGACCCCATGTTCAATTCATGTGGGTAGTGTGCAGAATTCAATAATGGCCATATATATTATGCATGTGGAGGTATCTTGCTAATAATTTGATTAAATATCAGGTAGGACAACAGTTTATACTGGATGCTACTCAAGAAGAACAGGCCTGTGCTGTTGGTTCACTGGCCCTAGCAGTCACTGCAAGTGGAAAAATTGCTGCACTCTTCAAAGCAGGCACTGGAAGTTTGCACCCTGAAAATGTCATGGATGTTATTGAGGCAAGTGGAACTCCAATATTCAACCAGTTTGCTTTGCATGGTTATCCTTTTGCTTCACAAAGTGTGCTCCTGGAACTGCAATTTTCCACAAAATAAGCGACAGCGGGTTTGAGAAAAAAAAAATAATACTAGCAAACCAATAGTATTGTCTCATGCGTTAGGGCAGATTCAAGAGCAACCATTCTGCTGCCCTAACAATTCTCTGAGGTGAATCATCTCTTTTTGCACATGTACACTGCGTGACGCTGTTTGCATGAACAGAACATCGCCGCTTTTTCACATTTTAGTTTGAACAGGTATCGGTAGGCTCCAATTTTTACCGCTTAGGTTAGTGCTCCATATGAGCACTTTCTACCACACTAGTAGTTTTTGTTACAGCCCTTCGGTTCGAAGAGAGACATACAGCAAAACCCGGCAATAATCGGTTTGTGCTAACAGCATCGCGCTGTGTACAAGACTACACTTAACTTCCAGTGGAAATTCTGCAGGCTTTTTATTTTTCAAGCCTTTACAGATTTGTTTTAGAAGAGCTGTACAAGCTCCACTAACCCGGTCTGTGCAGGAGAGTTATACGGCCAGGGGGACATAATGTAGGGAGCTAATCATCACAATAAGTAGAATAATTAATCAAAATGTTTTCATTAGCATCTTAATTACTGAGTGTAAGCATGTGGTTTCAATGTGGGTAGACACTGAGGTAGAGAAGGAAACGAAAGCGTGCGGGTATGTCAGAGCACCAAGCTCTGGTTGGTATGATTAGTGGGTAATGGCAAAGCTAGCGGCAATTGTCTCTGCTCACTCCTCGGATGAAAATTTTAGTTGTCTAATACCCTAGTTACACTAGAGCTCTTAAATGTCATTAAGCCAACGACAGTTGACTCAACCATGATCGGCCAGAGTAACATGGTGGTGCCAACTGTCATTGAGCCGCTAATGATCATTAAGTTCAACTGAGCTTGCCACCTCAGTTAACTGATGGGGCTTCGTCTCCATAGAGCTAAAGGTGGCGGCATCCGCCGCATCACCTCCCATGGCCAGCACCAGCGAAGCACTAATTATTGCGGAAGATTGGGGGGAGGTATCTAGAAAGTATTGTAGCAGCAAATATTGTTGGAAGAGGCACGATTTGGGGCCAGAGCTGTTGCTAGCACGATCACGGCACGTCGTGGAAGCCAAAGCTCGGCGAGGGCGGCCATTGTGATGTCGGTGCCGATAAGACTTTCGTTATGTTTCTTGCTTGAATCCGTGTGAAACGTTCTGACAGAGCCTCCTATATACCATATATACGAGGCTCTGGTTCTAATTATTATTTCTTTGCTCTAAAAACAAAAATATAAGCTCATTTTGTTTTGTTTTAAATGTTTATAATGAATGAAAAGTAATTTATTTGCATCACTTTTTAGAAAAGGTAATATGACATCAGTTTTTGTTTTTTTTCGGTTTCAACTGTGTCCCTTGACGCGCACCCCAACTGGGTTTTTTAGGCCTACGTACCGTGTAACACCGGACAACTTAGTTGAGCTCAGTGACAGTTGGGAGATGCCAACAATCATTGGCTTAATGACAGTTAAGAGCACTAGTGTAACTAGGGTATCACTTACCATGATGATTAGCCCACTCACAATATGTCCTTACTTTACTTAAAAATGTAAGTGATTACGGTAGTCAGTTATAGCCTTCTTAACGTAATTGAAAAATGACCAGAAAGTAATTGGTTACTTTTGCGTTACATTTTTAAAGCGATAGCCTTGCTTCCTGGCTTTTAGTGTTGGTGTTGGTCACACCGTAGCAAGGCCATGGAAGAGAGTGTCGGCAACGGAGTGGAGCTGCGGGTTTGACGTTGAGCGCATGCGACCAGTGGCATAGCATGGAGTTGGGGGGAGGGAGGCGAGTGCATGCTTACGCTCCTCTCCCCCTCCGCTTCATAGTAACGGGGGCTTAGTAGCATAATCTAGAGGGTGCAGAGGCATTTCACGGTCAGATTCTATGTCTGGTGGCATTTCACAGAAAATGATGCAGTGCTCCCAAAGAAGAGGCGTGGGCGAAGATTTCACAATTCCTTTGACACATATCACATACCATATCATTCTCATAGAAAGTGCTGCTCATTAAAGGAACACTGACAGGGTATTTATGCTTGCTAAGGTTTTTATTTGTACATGACACGTGAGAGCCCAACTACCCAGGACACAATTTGCGGCTTGATATTCGTTTTCTTTTAGCCCGAAAACCGCCGATCGAGAACTGGCCGGTTTGAGTCTTACTCACTCTCTTCTTTGTGGTCACATGCAGTTTTCTGTGCTTTGGACTCAACCACCAAAGATAATCAAAGTTGTGGGTCATCGCAGGCACACACTCAGTACTAAAAATAGACATAAGATATTGTACCCATTTTTGTGGCCTCTAAAAAGTTGCAAATACATTGATTGAAAAAAAAAAAAAAAAAAAAGTTGCATAGCCACCTGATTTTTGGCAGCACTCTCCTCCTCCATATTTCTTCTTCCTCTCCAGTCCAGTTTCAGTTTTGAGCAGTTGCATTTTTTTTTACTTTATTAAAAATATATGTGACACTGTAGCAAAATATTGATTGAGTAATCTTTTAACACCATGTTATATCGCTTGACAAAAAAAAAAAAAAAAAAAAAAAATGGGGGGTGGGTGTTAGTGTCTCTTTAAAAGCTCCCATCAAGTGCTATTGGCGAGGAGATCGACCTATAGGGGGTGCAGTTTCATTATCATCATCATCACCACAAACAATCGCTGCGCTGTGTGGCGAACAGCTCCGACGCCAGCACTCGCATAGTGTACGCAGCAAGTGTGCACTTGCTGCGCACCGCAGTGCTCGAAGCATGCTTTTGAACCGGGTATATGCAGCGCGAAGGACTGCAGCATGTATGCAACGATGCGAACACTGTCCACCGTTGGCTCTGGTGCAACGCTGCACTCGATGACATGATTGCAGTTGAGTATGTCCTCTCCTTCGTTGAGACACGGCTTGCTTTTGCCGATGTCGTCCATGATTGTCGCAAGAAACGGGGTAACTGAAAAGTGATATGCGTGTTTTGTGAATAATTTAGAAAAACACGGACACCGCGCCGGCCCACGATCCAGGGCGCGCAGCCGATACATTGCAACTGGCCCGGCACGCACGTGCGGGGCCGGACGCAGGTATATTTAGATGGGGGGGGGGTCAGAGTATCATATGTTCAAAATTGTTTGTACCCCCCCCCCCCTGTTTCTCTACCCTAAATTTTTACGCATACAGAATTCAAGAGGGGGGTCAGCATATCCAGACCTCCCCCTCAGAGCCGTAGTTTGGGAGAGTCTGGCCAGTGGGTGTGGCGACAAAGGCGCTGGAGAGAAGAAAAGTGAAGGAAAGGGAGGAGAGCGCTAAGAGGAGAGTACCGCCATTTTGATGCAACACTGTCGGCACAGAACACTTTTGAGGCTACGCGCCGTCTGCTACGGGCTTATTTCTTTTTCACCTGAATCAAAGTTTGCAGTCAAACATGGAGAAACTTCATTCATTAGTTTTTTAAGCCACCGAGGAATAACACTACCGTGAAATCCCGTAATGAAGGGATAAATTGAAAAAAAACATAGGGTGGGCTATCTTTGGGGATGCGACGGCAAAAATGTATAAAAAAAGGCGATAAGACACTGGGGTGTCCGCTACAAACCACAGAAAACGGGAACTGATACCGTGGATGGAGGACACGGCAAATTTGCGTTTTATGATGTGATAAACGCGCGGGAATTTTCTACGACATACTGTATCTAGGTAAAAGGGGTTGCGTACACAGCAGATTTGCTTTACCATGTTTGCACGATTCTAACGCACAGGCAGATTTAGCTTTCAGATATTCAAAAAGTAAATTGTGGTCGATTCTACCGCTCAGATAAAATAACGAAGATTGAACCCTCATAGAACGGATTTTAAGAAACTCACGCCAACGCAAAAATAAATGCCGTGCAGTAGATGCCGTTGTCAGCGTCCTACGACAGTTCTTCGCTGTCCACAGATGTGATCCCTGCTTTCGCTTAAAGCATTTCAAGTGCCGTGCTTCTTGCGCATGTACGAGTGCACAACCATCGGCTTTGGGAAGGTTGTCTTCCAAACAACACTTTGCGAGCTTGTCGGGTTGCTGGGATTGCGAGGCCACGCAGTGCTGCTCCTTTCTTATCTTTTCCTGCCAGCTTGACAGCCTTTCTATTAAATAAAGCCTCCTAGTGGAATTTTTTTTCCATCTTAAAACGGCTGGCACGAGTCCGTAGGCGTGAGAGATGCGCGTGATACGAATACCAAAATGGCGAATGTAAACAAGCAGTCACGATGGCGTTGGGGCTGGCCACCTTATTCCGAGTATTGCATTTTTCTTTAGTTTCGGTTTTTGATTTCGATTGTAACGCACATGTAGTTTTGGGCATCGACTTTGCCGAAAAAGTGCGCTATAGAATCGCGCATACACGGTGCAAAGGTCACGCGGGAACCTGCTGCGAACTTGCATGTTATGGGAACCAATACCGCCACTCGCGTATGTAGCAGATTTGCATCTCACGGTGCAACAAACATTCGGGACAACTTGTGCGTCATGGGAACGGATATCGCGTGCACAGATCGTGGACAAAACACGCGGGAACCCAATACGAGCGCGCATGGCATGGGAACAAATACTGCAGATCGCGGACACAGCAGACTCACTTTTCACAATGCAATAAACATGCGGGATCAACTTGCACGTCACATAAACCAATATCGCATGCGCAGATCATGGACAAAAACTTGTGAGCCCGCTAGAAACTCCCTTGTCAGACGTTTTGGTACCGCAGATTGCACGGTTGATGTGATTCTCGTCGGACATCGCGTGATGGCAGACGGGGTGGGCGATGTTTTGGAATTTATAGGTTTTAGATATTCAGCCAAAAAAACGGGATGGGTGATCTCACGGGGAAGGGCGCCCTTACGGGATTTTACGGTAGTACTATATATCATTTGCTTGTCAGAGCCTGCTAAATAAAAGGAAAGAGCCGAAATTTGGTTTTCAATCCCATGCATTTCATTGGGCGAATAAATGAAAATGTTGGCTCTCCCCGTCAGCTGGGAGGAGCCAGGAGTTCACGCGCATGCGCTCACGCCTCTCGCTTTGCACTGCGGGCTGATTGGCTCACTCGGGGCGGCGGGCGGGCTGGCATTACGGCAGCGAGATCATAGACTGGCCAAACTCTCTCCATGTATTGCTCTGACTCCCCCCCCCCCCCCCCCTTCTCTCTGAATCCGTCAAAACAAGCATGCGCTTGTTTTGCTTTCCAAGAGGACTTCAGTGGCATTGAATATAAGAGGGGCTAGCTTACTTTTATCTAGATGCATTTAAGAGAAAAGAGTAGTGCTACATATCTTTCACGAGCCTTGCGTCATCTTTTATGGCAGCGAATGCACTAATGACTGCGGTCGAAGGGTTTGTTTGCCACAAAGCGTTAGTTCCCGAGGTGGCCACTAGGGAGCGCCACTCCTCGATCTCCTCCCCAATTGCACATAATGGAAACGTCAAACTTTTACGGCGATATGGCTCTGCAATGTCAGCTTCGCGGTGGAGTTATGAAACACTTTGATGTCAAGTGTGGAGATTGCTAAAGTCGTCTGTGGTGGCGTCAAGAGTAGAAACACTAAATTGGGCTACAAATGCTGACATGGCCTTGATAAGATGCTGGCAAAGCAGGAGAATTACAGATCATGAAACACGACTGCGAAGTGCCGAGAATAGTTGACATCGTTGCCCTTCCTGATGTCTCTGCAAAGGAACGAAACTCTAAAGCAGTGCACTTTTGAGATTTTTAGGTGGAACAGTTGTGTCTTGATCATTTCCATTCCTTCATCTTTGAAGGTTGGACGAGACATTGGCGCCTCTCTGAATGCTGCCGTAGTTGCAGAGTTGGAAGCGGAAGTTTCTACCAAGAAGAAAGGGCAGAAAGGCTTCTTCCTTTGAAGACTGCATCCAATCACAGAGCATGAATATGATGATCTATAAAATGTGGTTTCATTTACATTTTAACAGATGTCTTTTTTTTTCTTTTCTACTTCCCTAGAGGTTTGAAGTTGCTTCTTCTCCACTACTTTTATGCAAATGGCTATACCCAATCTTTTGAAAACATTGACTGCCTCACATTTTTCACCTTTGTATTAAAGAAGCACTAGCAGGTCAAAATCATAAATTTTTTTATTATCCGAAATGTTTGAAAACGATGCTTGGACGTTACCCTAAAAATTCGAAGCCTGGGAACTCGGTTTTTGTTAAGTAAAAAAATACAATTCCCAAAAGTCGAATTTGAAGTTCCCGTGTGATCCGCGCCAGTGCAATGACGTCGGTCCATCCAGTAACTCGAGTTTTTCTCACCCCTCTCGACCGGAAGTGCTCGCCCTTGCCTGTGTCCCTCGATCAACCACACTTCTGCCCTTCTCTGTGCTTGCCACCTATTGGTGTGAGCAGACGACGCTTCACTTTCAAGTTTGAAGTTCTTTTAGAGCCCTTGCAGCGACCTCAAATTCTGTGAAATGGTGCGAGGTCGAAGAGAACGCGCAGTGGACTTTTGTGAGCACCGTGACGGGCCACTTTGCGCCTGTTCTGCGTGAAGGGCTGCCCCGGCGGAGTCACAACCGAAACTACGGTGCACAGACACCAAACCCAGTAGCTTTGACCGTTTCACAATTTCCTTTTCGAAGTCTGAGAGGTCGTCGGGCACCGAAAAGGGAATTTGTCCGATTCCCTTACTCCCTGATCATCGTCAGTGCTACATGTGCCGAGTGCTGCCGTGTTTCCCGAGGGAGGATAAAAAGCCAGGAGGTGACATTACTTCCGGACCTTGATTTTCGGTATTTCAAAAAGAAGGGCCGTAGTGCGTGATTGCTTTAAAAAAAACATGGTTTACGAATTGCGTCATTAAATATAGAAATGTCGCTTGCAAAGCTTCTAAATTTCATAACTGATTACATCACAAATAAAAAAAAGGGAGAGAAAAACGCCAGAAATAAAAAGGCGTGTGGGGAATTTTTTTTTCCTCATTGTGGTATTTTTTGTTTCTATGGCTAAAACTTGCATCATCTTAGACAAAAAAAAAAAAACAAAAAAAAAACCTTTATGGTATTAGTGCCCTTTTAAACCAGTGTTTGTGGTTGTAGGTATTGTATGCGGCACTCTAGAAAATGTGGTTTCCTGCTAACTGTTGATGCTGAATGCAGGCATTTTGTGCATCAGTTACATATGTTTGACTTGCTTTACGTAAATCCAGGTGGTCTGAGGAAAGGGTAAAAATAATACCCAAACAATATTTGAAAGAGGTCACTTTTGTACGACACTAATTATGATCATTCCACCATATGCTTTCCAAATGCAGGTCACTTCAAAATTTAAGTGATTGAACAGGTATTCATTACTAGAACAGCTGTTTACTACATATAGAAAAGGTTGTTTTAGGAGTACATTGTTTCACTCCTAGTTGTGTGGTTATAACAGACTATATTTTTTTCCTTTCTATAGTAGTATTTGATCAGTGAGAGCTTTATATAGGAACATAGAAAGAAAGATGGCATAATGTATACAGATACATTCATGTGATTTGACCTGAGGAAGCTCTTCTAATTTGCATGCCTCAGGTGTGCTACGTGACAGAGCACTGCACGGGCCTGGTTTTTGAGGTCTGACCCAGCCTAGGCCCGCTGGCTCACTCCTACCTGATCAGGGTTTGGTCCGATGGGACGCTGACCTGACCAGGCTCGGCCCATGCTTGGCCCGAGTGGAGGTGCCTTGACTGCGGAAGATTAAGTACGTCTTGTCCCAGTGAGAGGCTAAGGCATGCCTCGTCTAAATCCAACCCCCCAAAAAATTCTTGTCTATGCAATCATACCACTGTGCATTACATTTGGTTCTTAGAAAATAAAGTCTCTCTTTCATAGCACGCATAAAGACCTCACAATGACATGATGAGTAGGTAAGCATGGAAATTATTTCTCTACGAAGTCCCCCCCATAGTATGACTGCACCGTGCAATACACTTCCAGTGAGATGAAATGGCAGAGGTAAGGCCCTGTAAGCACGATGTAGTTGGTGAAATTGGTGTATTACCTTTAGAATGACTGGTTTAAACCCACTAGTCATGCAAGCATCTTGTACGTCTCCTGTACACCACCCGATTTCTAAAATGGCTACTGTAGTAAGCTTGTCGACTGCCTGTGAACTTCCAAATACCTGTGATTCAAGGGTGCAGGTCTGATCCCAGAAATGTGAATGGTAATGGTGGACCTGTTTCAATTTGCTATGGTCAACCCTTTCATTCTATAAACTTGCAAGCTTTGTGCTCTTCAGAAGCAACATCAAAACACTGAAGGCACAAACACCATATTGAGGGGTGCACCATATTGTAGGGGCAGGGGGGGAAGGGTCATTATAGAGGAATTTAAAGAAAAACACTGCACAGATGTAATCCCATGGTAACATTACTTTTTATTAGAAACTTAACAGGTAACTGCATAAAATACTCTGTTTCTGCTCAATTAAAGGCACATGGTTAAAAACAAATCTGTAGTACACTACGCTGGCATTCCTGTTGCTATTGGGCTTCAACAGAACCTCTCTCCCATGAACATAGCTTAAAACTTCAATATATTTTATTACACAGGAAACAGGATGTCGCTCCTAGAATTATCCAGCAGGGGGATGATTTTCATGGGTTATCATTTGTTTGCACAATACATTCTAGCTGTCTTCTGCTTCTATATCATAAAGCTGTATCCCTAGGATCCTTAGGTACATTCTAAACACTACCCTGAAAATTAACTATGCACACTCAAGCTTCCAAGGCAGGTAACTATAGTTCGATGCAGTTTGTTTTGTAGCTTGTAAATGCAGTCTTGTACTATGGTTCCTGAAAGACCACTTCTTAACACTCCCACAAACACATTCTGCATAACCTCAAACACATTTGCCCCACACAAGGCAACTACTTGATCATAGCTCTTGTTGAGCACACAGTAACAGGATTGTTGAAATTTGTGCACTGAAGCTTTTTCTATTCAAAAGGCATAGAAAAATATGCATAGAACCTCTCAGAGCCACAAACAGCTAAAAAAAAAAAGGATGCGCCAAGGGTCTTGCATACAGGAATATTAGGTTTGCACCCAATAGAGTTGTCTGGATGAACAACACAACAAATGAACACTTAATAAACTTGTTGGATGAACAACCACAATAGAGATCTCACATAAGCAGTCACAGAGCATGGAACCATACTTTGCGGTGCCACACATACATGTGTATATACACCACAACACTTGTTTGTACAAGCATTTAGACTTGCACAAAAACAATTTTCCTTTTTGTGCACTCAGATGTCACTTCCATTACTGTTTACAATGCGTCATGTTTTGAAATTGTGCACAACAAATGTTTTTGTTACAACTCTGGAAGACATTAAGCATGCAGAAGCTAGTACTGCTAACAGCAATCGTGCAACTATAGCAACATTTAATAGCTTTGGAATTCTGCTGTTCTAGTGATCCTACTGTAATGCTACGCTCAGGACTGAAAGGTTGAAATTGTAATTAACAAAGGTAGCTTTATTTGATGCATTATTGCTACAGTTTCTGCCACTATCCACCTCCTATCTTGAGAGTTTAGGTTGCACGGAGAATGTTTCCTTATATTACCTGATAGCAAATGCTTTACAAACACATGGACAATTTTCAGGCATGTGAGATGTCACATGAATTCTGTTCTACAGTGTACAGACTATATTTCCACCTTGACTAGAGTTCTGGAGGCATAAAACCTAATCAAGTAGCAAAGTAAATGTTGGAACAAATGAATGACAAGAACATAGCATTGCTTGGTTAAGGTTAAAAAAAAATTAAAAAAACTTGCAAGACGAGTAAAAAGAACTGCCACCCCCATTTGCAAAACAAACAGAACATGTCTGTAATGGCTAGATTATGCCAAGACATAAGACCTCTAAATGAATACATACTTTATGCCACAGGATGCACAAAAAGTAGGCTCAGCATCTAAAAACAAAACGCACAGAAAGACCCAGGTTACACAAGGCATCCTTGGAGTGTCTGCTGGCACCGTGAAGGAGGTCAAGCATGGGCAACAAGCATGAAATAACAGAAGCAGCAGAGGTGAGCAGAAGACAGGTGTCGACATCTCTTGCCAGCGCAGTTGCAGGTCCAGGGAAAATGCTCAGTTGGCGGGATCCCGCACAACCCGGCCCATCAGAGGTTGGGGTGGCCGATAGTTTTTGAGTATGGGGCCGTCTGTCGGTGCCTTGGGGCCTTCCCCCTCCTTGTACGACATCAGTTCCCGGAATGCCTCGAACTAAAGAAAGAGGAAACAGTGCTTTGAACCATGGCACTCCTTTAAAGCACCCTACTAGGAAAAAGCTATAACCTTCGTAAAAGTAGTATTCCCCTCGTTTAGACCCCTACCACTCAAGGCAGAGAGCAGCAACTTGTATCCAATTTTAATGTACAATGTGAAGCAAAGGGATCAATGGCTGTTTTAAGGGACCGCATAAATCGGTTTCTGAACGTATCGAACTAAGATTTCATACAGATGTGATCGAAGAATGTGCATTAAGGTTATTAAAACTTCACCGAGCTAACTTCCCGAGTAAAAAGTTAGAAATCGAAAACACGAAATCCCTATCTGCAGCGTCCGTCTGCTAACGAAAAACATCCGACTGGTGCAACAGCTTACAGATGGCCATGTGCACTGCTAACTCCACTACACATGGCAATATCATATAACTGACAAAATTTTTTGAACATAAAAAAATTAGCTTGCTAATCATTTAAAAGAACCAAACAATTTTGTGTTAAAAGTTTACTAACTGCATATCTCTTAGTGAAGCACAAGGAAACTGAAGTTTCAAAAGTAAGAGCCGACTACATTTCTTTCTCTTTTTTGGAAAGCTTTCGGATAGTTCTAAATAACCGAATGTAACATGGCCGAATATGGCTTGAGCACTTTATCACGACTCTGCTTGTACTTGGCAACAATCAATCTGTTGGGTTCTGTTTTGTGTTCTGCTGCAATGTATGGTGCACAGCATGTGCTATACTCTGGGATAACTTTTTGTGGCAATGCAGTCAAAAATATAGAAATGCCTGCTCTTGCCCAGATCGAGCGCAGATTAAAGCTGTGTGTGCACTCTCCTCCTCTAAAACGTTGAGAACAGTGCTTCCAAACGACAACCACGAAAGAAAGGAGTACCTTATACTCCTTGAAAATGTTGCAGAAAGTTTTCCCCAAATATAGATCTTTGCAAAAAAAAAGTGCTGCCGGTTCCATTTTCAGTGTAAGTGCCCCATAGCGCGTGATTTGCTCGCTTTCGGAGGTGATGGACATGTGCATGCTGGGCTGAGGAGATCGCACGCTGGGCTGAGGACTTGTAAATATTAGAATGGTGTATAGTATAAGCATTGCCAACCCAGGCACAAACTTGTGATGAACATTCATTTACTAGGATGGGCATTTAGACTAGTTGGTATACATTCATGATGAGAAACAGTGCGAAAAGCACAAGGACACAGGAGAGAACACACAGGACAAGGAGCTGACTATCAACTTTCTCGTTATGAAAAACACATTCTTGATCACAGCCACGTGATCAAGGGTGCTTTTCATTATGAGAAAGTTGATAGTCAGTGCCTTGTCCTGTGTGTCCTCTGTATGCTTGCGTTTTTCGCGCTGTCTTTCATCGTGAACATTCAAATCACAAGCTAGCACAAGAACATGCGACAACTTGTTCTGTCAGAAGAATGGGCATCACAACACAAATAATTGCTCATTTTACTGGTAAGCCAAAAAATAAAACAATCAGTTTTCTTTTTTTTAATAAAAGTAAATGCATTAAGGCAAAAAGGAATTCCTGTTTTGGGTTGTACAAATAGTCAATTTATTGAAGGCACTATTTAGTAAAAGCCGAAAATATTTCATGGTTCTCTTAAAGGACAACTTCGGTCAATATTTTTGACTTTGGGATTATGACTGTTTTCAGCTCGGGCAGTGTCCCTGAATTACGAGGTATACTTTTTCTCTCGATACTTTGTGTTGTTTAATTATAAATATCACAGCTCAAAGTTTGGTTCCGGGCAGCTACAGCAAAACCAAAACTATCTGCTGGAGGGATGGCAAAACTGGTCATCAGCCGTACAGCCGCGATGCGACGTCATCGTGGTGCTGCGGTATGCGGTACAACCAATGAATTGCAGCTCCACCGCGACGTGACGGCACAAAGGTGCTGTGCCAGTGATCCTTGACTAAAAGCTAACCCGACTGCCACCCGCTAAAGAGCAGCAGGTCACATCTTTAAAATCGGTTTTAGTGGAATTGGTGGATTCACTCCGACGTAGTATTTCGGCTGTGATCATATTTCGTGCCAGTAAAGGGATACCAGTAATTTATTTTGGTTTTGTTTTCGACCGGAGTTGCTCTTTAAAGGTTGACAAGCACCCGGAAGGAAGGAAACTCAATTCCTCCTTTCCATTCAGGAGAGACTTTTCTCCTTTCTGTGGGGATTAGCTTTGAGACCTGCTCCTTTGGGGAGAGGAGAGAAGAGTGAGATGGAATGGAGGGAAGGAAAGGTTTTTTTTTTCTGGCAGCAGACAATTCTGACGGAGAAATTAATTGCATGCATCCCGTGTGTGGAGAATCGCAAAAATAACATCACTGCTTTATTCTTTCTAAATAGTATAAGGTTACTAAAGTTATTAGTAATATTGCCAAAGACAAACCTAACAAAACACCTATAACATATCAGCTACATCGAGAAACGGTAGGAACTTGAAGCCCATTCCTATTGGGTGTTGAGATTTCTCTGCAAACAATTTCAAATCTTTGCTATATTACTGCCCTATTTATTTGTTTATAGTTTTTATTTATACTATTTTATTATTATTTATTTATAGATAGAGAGGTCACGAGACATACTCTGTTACAAACTAAAAACGTGTGGCAATCAAAAGGTTTGAATCTGTTCTAGTATACTAGATAATACTGGATACGGGCAGCACATACCTGCTCTTGTGACACTTCAATAGGCTCCTTGAACACAATCCAGGTGACACTTTCATAGCAGGGAGGAGTGGTCAGTGAGCCCTCATATGTCCAATAAGAACTGTTTTCTGTGGGGTTCGGAGACAATAAAATTAAACTTGTTCTGTGAATATATACAGTAGCACAAGGAAGAGAAATGATGCTTACTAGGAATGAGTGAGCCAATGTCAATGTCTTGATCTATGGAACACTTGTCGCCTCTGTAGATAACCTTTTTCATGCTATCCGTGATCTTCTGCAACTCTTCATGAGGCTGTCCTTCCTGCGAGGGTTTGATCTTCATGAGAAGCTGGCTACTAAAACTCCAAAATTAAAGGGACGATAAAGTGGTTTTGGAGTATCTATTGAATACTGGTGTGGTCAAAAGCTGGTCATGCAAGAATAACCTTTTTTTGGGGGTAACAAAGAGGCCTCAAACTATGTTTTTAATTACCACAAGCTGTCCTTGCCAGTATCTGAGGAAAAAGGTTCTTGGACCATAACAAATACATACAAGTATGCTTCTCACCCTGAGCAAAGCTCGAAAGGTTGCATTAAACAAGAGTAAAGGACGAAATAAAAGAAAGTCCCTCTCACCTTAAGAAAGATGCCGATAACACTCAGTCCCTTATCGGAGCACGCTGCTTCTGAAGCTCTGGAATACATGTCCAGGTTGTAGTGGACAAGGTGCAACTGGAAACAGAGAATGTGAGACATGGTATAAATAAATTCCATTGAAACGATTTACGGGATTAAATGCATGAAACTATCGGCATGGAGACAACGGACAACTTGCACCTTTTTTAAATGTCTCACTTCATGCTGTCTACATAAAGAAGGATCATAGTTTTCATTTCTTGTATTCTCCTGTATTTGGAGGTACAATTTACATACAATTTAAACTTGGCAAATTATCGGTGCCCAATCATTTTAGGATTCACTTAAGGAGGAATCGATAGGCTCCAGAACAGTTGCAAGAAATTAGCCTTTTTGTTTGGGCCATCGGATCAAGTGGGCAAATGGAAGAGGAGTGAAACAGGCATAGTTTATCTACCTCGCCTGCATAGTGTTCCCCGTCGACGGTGTGCTCGCTTCCCATCTTGCTGCAGGTGCCCCAGTGGCTGTGGAACTGGACCATCTGATAGTTGTGGTGTAGAGGCCCCCCAGAAATATCTGTAACAAAAGCACACACAGGACCACCACTTACAACCATGCACAACACGTGACAAACTAAGTAATTGTTACAGGCTTTGAATAAGAACTGACCGTCCAAGTGATAGTGCAAGCGTGGGGTAAAGGTCAAAGCAACGCAACATACAGGTGCCTGCGTTACAATGTCGCCGGTTGTTACAACTCGTTTTTCTGTCCTTGGAACAAGGCAATATGTATTGAAAAAGAAAGGCTGACATGTTTTAAAACAAAGTTTTTCGGCATAGTCGTAAACACAAGACGGGGGATGCGGACAACAAACTAAAACACAGAACGACACGGCCGAAGTCAGTCATTTGCCTGTGCTGTGTACTTACTCTGTTGAGGCACTCTAAAGTGCTTGTCTTTTCCTGGAGAGAATGAATAATTGAAAAAACACCCATAATCTTAGCAGCAAACTCTATTTCGAGTGAAACACAAACTTACGGTCTGTAGTTGTGAATGTTAATCTCTTAATGTATGTAGTACAGGGGGAGGGGGAATAGTATGGTTTTATAAAATTATCATAAAAAATAGGCTCTGCATAGCATAAAACACTTACAAGCTAATTATTTGTTCAAAGGCAGGTTATTGTTTATCAGATAATCTGGCTTTGCCCCAAGACTCGAGGCTGAAACTTAAAGAGATAGCACATCCTTCACAATACATTCCTTTTTCTTTTTTTTTTTTAACAACACAAAGATGGAAGCACCATTTGACCATTTGTAATATGTCTTGTATCAGGCAGAATGTTGGTTTGGAGCAGCTACTGATGCTTTTGGAGCTGATGCCAACATAAGTTAGCATGTCACTTGGAAAAAAAAAATCTTATATAGCTAAATAAAGATCACAGAACTAGACAATCTTTGTCTACATCTTTGATATAGGAACATCATTTATTACCATTTTTAATAAGTACATAAACAATAATAAACTGGACAAAAATAAAACACAGAACTGTTTGTTTTTAGAAAAAAGGCTCAAGTCAAAGTTGGTTCTTCTGCAGGTTCTAAAAATGGTTGAAATGTCTGCTCCTTTGATCTTGTGCACCAAGAAGCATCCTGCCACTCCCCCTACAAAAGTGCCAGTGGTTTATTTAACCTTTTAATACAATTTGTGAAAAATGCCGGAAAAAATAGCACATCTTTGCTAGAACATTTATGTGTTATATGAACCAGCTAAACTTGCACTAATATTGTGCATTGCAAAAACAGTCACCCGCAAACATTGCGAAAACTTGCATATGTACTTTGAAAGCAACACTGCACATTACTTCGCAGCACAAGCAGTGTTGGAGTCAGGGTTTAATCCGAGTTCAGCGACTGCTGGTGCTTTACGAAAATTAAAAAGTGCAAAAGACAAAACATTTTGCAACTGCTGGTGCATGGGAACTACTTCATTCATTGAAATATAGCTTTTTCTTTCTCGGAAAGGTTCATTAAAGTCGGAGCTGAACCTACAATTGTAACCGAAGGATATCGACCTAAAATAGTAGTTAGCATAATCAGTGGCTGATTCAGAGGGGGGGGATCCGGATGTCCTGACCGACCGACCGACCGACCGACCGACCGACCGACCGACCCCCCCCCCCCCCCCCCCCCCCCTTTCTTGAATTCTGCACGTGTAATTATTTATGGCCAGGAAACGAGGGTGGGGGGCTCAAGCATATGATACGCTGATCCCCCTTTCTTTCCCTCCTTCCCTCCCTCCCTCCATTCCCCCCCCCCCCCCCTCTCTCTCTCTCTCTGAAAATACCTACGTCCACCTCTGAGCATACTATCCGAGCCCATCGCGCCCATCAGCCGCTTCTCCTAGCGCGCTGGTGTAAAACGGTGAAGCTCGACGCACGCGCGTCGGTGCGGAGCAGTAAAGACAAGTAAAGATAATAAGGCTGACATAAGCGCCGCAGCATGAGCGTCCCGGAAACGTCCTCAACACTCGCACGTGCTGGCTTAGGTCCCTATCGTTTCGTGGAATGTTCATGGGCACAGGCTTCATCGACACGAAGGTTTCATCAGCACTCGTTACGCGAATTGCACGCTGTAAGGACATTTCGTCGCGCGTGTATCATTGGGGTGCGTGTTAACCCATCCGGCTGCCCCGTTTACGCCGCTTGGCGGCGAGTTTGCGGTGGCTCATTACAAAAATGTTGACCCACGTGACCCACCCGTACACGCTGCTTCGCCGCGACAGTCTGATGCGGCTTGTTACAGAAAAAAGCTAATCTGAGCTCTCGACGAAACGATTTGTCGAAACGATTTGTGGATGAAACGTCGTTCGATGAACTGATTGCCACCATTCGTTTGACTCGACCGTTCTGCCGAACTTCATGCTAAGCCCAACGGTCGGAGTTTCGTTTTCTGTAACAATCGCCGTGCGTGCTGTACCGCCGCACACTTCAATCAAAGAACTTTCTTTTCTCTTCATTTGCTTTGCTGGCGCAGGTGTGGCGCAATTCTTCGTGGAAATGGTATTTCGGCGTGATATTGAGCAGACTCGCGCTCATAGAGCAATTCATCACATTTATGTCACAAAATTTATTAGCTTTGTGACCTTTTCCGTCTAAGTTACCCCCCCCCCCCCCCCCCCCCCCCCCCCCCACGGGCATAAAATGTCGTCCTCTTACTCGCTCTCTTTCTCTCTCTCTCGGACACACGAAGCACTGCGCACGTACGTCGAGAGGCGGCACACCATTGCTGGCAACTTTTCCCAGTTCTTTCACTAACCGGTACTTGCAAAAAAAAAAAAAGAAGTGAGGGGAGCGCCGATCTCGCTCTCTTAATTGCAAAAAGTAAAAAAAAAAAAAAAAAAAAATCTATGTTATCATTTTGAGGAGTTTTGTTTCCTCTGCCACGAAAGCATGAACGAATCGGAGCGACTCTGGGTAGCAGCACTGAGTCTCACGACGACCTCACCCCCAGCACAGATATAGTGACGTGGGATGTGACTCACTCGGGCCCTGAGCGGTCACGTCGGCCCTCCAGCCACAGCCAGTGTTGAGCAAGTTCGTGCAATGCAGGCCCTTGTAGTTCCATCGGAGTGGGTTCTCTGCCAGGAACGGGTCGGACTGCACATTCTTCTGCACAATGTCGATGGGTGACTGCTTTTCTCCCGCGGCCTTGGGGTAGATCTTCGACCAGTTCGATGGACCTGCATACACAAAAGCCCGTCCACAATCCTCACGGTGCTTTCCAACAAAATCTGCTTCGAACACCACCTCTGCAAGACGCTTCATAATACATATACGCACACGCACGCAAAAAAGGTTTATACGAATTTATTATCTATTCGGGATTTCGAGGTTTTAATACATTACGTAGATGATGTGTTAAATTCAGATAATAAAATAACAGCAGTACTTCCCAGCCCAATCCAGTTAGACGTCCTTCGGATCGTGTGGTGACGACTGTCACAAAAACGCGAACTGACTCTCTCAGGTAATAATATTTGTTGATACATTTCCCCCGCTTTATCTTTCGCCTACTGAAGCAACCCGATCGCATCGCTTTACAACGTCGTCATAGAAACAGAGCGTCGGAAGAAACCACCCACGAGTAAAATAAGGAAGAACAATTCCGAAACACGAGTGCCCCATGTGGCGCGCCTCGTCCTGTGTGTACACAATCGAGTATTATCTCCAAGCGAAATCAATAGCCTTTACGGTCTCTCCATATACTTGCTCGCTCTATTGCACTACTTAGGGAGGCAATGACTCTCACGACCGCAATTGCAACCACAACGCAACTTTAAAACAAAGCAAAAACACGAGACCCAACATGAACACGCCAAACGGGCCACCAGTGCAATCCAAACATGCCACTGCCCCATTACGACAACGAGGGGGCCCATTAGGCCTCATCGTTTTTTCAGCAGCGTTCACCATCGCGATGATGGTGTTTCCCCGGGACGAGCCTCGGTCGAGGCCACGCCTCGCACGACTCAATTTCGTGCGGGGAGGAAGAAGCCGGCAGCCATCGAAAGGCCGCACTATCGAAACGGTTCGCGAGAACGAGGTCCATCAGGGAGCCCGCAAACAAGCCGACGGAGTCCCAACGAGTGTCCGCGGCGGAAGTTGCTCTTACTGCCACACGCATCATGCTGCAACGATACCCAATCGTTGATGCGGGTCAACAGAGGCATCGTATCAAATGATGACATACAAAGGCCCGGGGGGCCCGATCAGGCTGCAAACAAACGCATCAGAGCGGAGGAGTGTATCACGGCCCGCGCAAGCGAACTCAGCTTGTTTTGGACCTTCATTTCCCGCGAGCAGATGCAGTGCACGGATGGCTGAACGCACACCACACCTTGGATGGCAGCTTGTTTTAGTAGTCATGAGTTCCGTTTTCGAAAGCCACACGCCACTGCGGGCGCGATTGCATCGCGTGCCGTTTGCGACAATAAACACACGCCGCGACCGCGGGGGACAAGGCCATCATTGCGCGTGGGTGTTGATTCCGCGCGGCACCACCGTATTGTGCATTATTTCTCGTGGAACGTTGATGTGCTGCGGCACGTACAATCCCTAATTAAAAGTTCATACACCCTTTGTTGAAGAAATAATATCACGAAGCAGCAGCAAACTACATTCTTGGAATGCGCTATCAGATTCCGCGCCGTGCCATCCATGTCACTCAGCGCATTTCTGGAGCATCGAAAATGTTTCATGCCACTCATTAAATGCAATGGTGTAGCCGCGCAATATAAATAGCATTATCTACACGGCTTATCCAGCGTTTCGTTTTCTTTTCTATTGTATGCGTAATGTTTTATTGCTCGATTTGTGTTCACGGAATTATGAAGCGTTCGCTTCTATGAAGACGTAATATGTCTATTTAGGTTCCATGGTCATTATTTGCGGGTTTTATGGCGCAAGAGTTCCGACGGTCATAATGCGCCATATAGGTCCACAATATCCAAACTAAATAAATAATTAAGGAATCAAGTATGCTTAGTTTTTCGATTTTGTTTGCGATGGTGACTCGTGTACGTTTTTCACTGTTGTACTTTGTCACCCACCCCTGTAAGTCTCCGACGGGCTGACAGTACCGATAAACGAACGAACAAAGGTAAGCGGGGGGTTTTAATGATTGCCGCGTGCACCACGTGTGAGCGCCGTTAAATACCCTTTATGGGCACGTAGGTAACAACCCAACGGCGCGTGGTCGAACGGGAGAACTTGAAAAGCTGTTGGCTTTGCAGCGCTATCACCCGGGCGAAAAATGACACTTGACCGTGGAGGCGCGCACCGCGTCTGATATCGCTCAAAAGGCGATTACCGGAATAGACTCCTTTCGAAAGATTGGATTGCCCTCTGTTGGCAGCTTTGCAATCCCTGCACAATGGCGGACCAAAACCGCAACGTCACGGCACACTTTGTGTTTAGTTGGATTAGAAGGCGACAACACACCCACTGAAAAAGGTGACGATTGCAGTGACGTTGCACTTTCGACGCTGACTTTCGGCACGCGACTTTCCAAGCGAAAAGTGCCGAGTCACTGGACGCGCGCACCACGTCTGATATCCCGCAGAGAGAGAGCGTCTGTTCAGAACGCGTTCCAGAGCACAGTAGGCAAAGATGGCGGCTCGCAGAAGGCGATGACTGGAATGATCCGCTGGCAAATCAAAGCCACTGTCCCAGCGAGTCGATGAGCGCCGGATCACAAAACCGCTGATTTCCCTACACACCCCTGGGGGGGGGGGGGGTAGGGGTAGGGGTAGGGTAGGGAAATCAGGGGTCATCTGATCCGGCGTATACCGCCCTGTTTTTCTGAAGGCAACCCCTTACTTCGTTACGACCTCCTCTATTCTAAATCTCCCCCCTTCCCTGATTTCAATTCCTGGGGAAACCCCAGCACATGAGGATGCACCGTCGGGGTCATGGTGGTCGGAGGGCACTCCTGCCGGCGAGTGCTACCACCTGCTTCCCTCCGTTTTTTCCGACTGGTTAAAAGAGGCCTTCGCCCCTTTGCCAAGTAACGCTGAAATGGAGTCGACAGACTGCTAAGGGCCTCAACATTCCCTTTTCACGCATCTAGGTGCAATTAAGTGACTATAACGCCGTTTTAATGTAGAAGTTTATTGAGGGTCTAGAGAAGCTAGAAAAATATTAAAATTCATCTTTGCAGAAAATTACGCCCCAAACTTCAGATTTTCCTCGTCTTGAAAGAATATCTGAAGTACCACCTAATATTGGAGACGTCGACGTCTCACCCTACAATGAACAAGGGCCCGAAGGAAGGCTGGGCGGGCAGAGCGTATACCTCGGAAAAGCTTGCATCCGCATTGCAAAAAGAGTGTGCAAAAGAAATTCCGATACGCAGAGTACGAAGAGCACTAACCTTACGCATATGGTTCTCTATAGTTATAGCGCGCTATTTTCTACTGGTGAAGTAAAGGTACTGTCGGGAACAAAAGTTTAGATAAAACCGGAGCGCCGACCGAATTAGACCGAATGGCACCGCCGTGCTCCCTGAAGGCGCGCCGCTTGCTGTCGAGAACCGCGCAGTGCGCACACTTGCTCGTTTGCTCGCTTCAGCGCGACGCGCTCCGGCCTGATTAAAACGGCAATATGCCTGTTTCACTCGGCCAGGGGGCGCTGTGGCGTCCAGGAGACGCGACCATTTAATGCTGTCGCGAAGCTGCGTCCTAGCGTCCCCATCGTGCACGATCCACGTGCGTATACAAAAGCCTGGTCAGCGTCTCTTCACGGGAACCAAAAAGGCGTTTGAAATGACACAACTGAAACATGACCTAGAAATATCAGATTTTCCTCGCCAGGGGCGCTGCTTAAAACTTGAGCTGCGATTCCACAATCTTTGCTCATCGCACTGGACAGCGGCCGAGCGACCGAGCTCCGCGTGCTTTGCGGCGCGGGCAGTTCACACTTGGCGACCAACGGTGCTCCGAGTAATATGTGGCCAGCACCATTTTTTCTTGCACTTTTATTTCTGGCGTGCATCTGGACTATTGATTCTCCGGAACGAAATCGCCACCAAGCGACTTCCTTTCAACATGCCGTAAAAAAAAAAAAAAAAAAAAAAAAAAAAAAAAAAAAAAAAAAAAAAATTGTTTTTAACTTGTTGCCCAGTCGCGTGAACTGCCCGTGCTGCTGTCCAGAGCTATGAGTGAAGATTGTGGAATCACGAAACAGGTGCGCGTCGCGTTGAAGCGAGCAAACGAGCAGGCCAGCACTCACTTGATCGAATGACGTTTTAGCGAACGCCCACGTTTCACCGAATGACACTTTAGCGAATAGTCGGCCGCCGCGAAGCGGCGTTTTTCGGGTGGGCCAAGTTGGTTCACATTTTTGTAATGAGCCGCCGCAGACTGTCACGTTATTTAATCATGTGATATGGACCCAGGCCAGCGGATAAGAAAGGACGCGCCTGCGCAGGTCTTGACTGCAGGCGGCGCGCCGTCAGGGAGCGTGGCGATGCAATTCGGTCGCCGCTCCGGTGTTATCCAAACATTTGCTCCCCGACAGGGTATTTAGTTTCATAAACATTCATGGCCATATTTCAAACGAGCTAGAGGTGCTTAAAGTGATAAACTGGCAGCTGGAAGTGACCCCCACCCGGCCGCCGCCATGTTGCACATTTTTGACACGTGACCTTATAGTTTTACGTCTAGATTTTAATTAACAAAGAGATAAGTTATGTTCCGTTCGTTTTAAGTCTAAAATGTGCTTTTCCAACAGAAACTCGGGCAGCATCGCGATGGCTCCGCTAGATGCCGTCGGCCGCGGTGCTGTATTATGGGTTTTTATCGGAGCTAGACACTTATCTCAAGGGCTAACAGAATTGACAAAAAAAAAAAAAAAAAAAGTCTAATATTTTTTTTACAGCGATCGCAATACAAATCTCGGTTGTTTTTGGGGAAAAACCTCAGGATTTGGTATGGTCACGAGTCGGTGACAGGTCAAGAAGGAAGTGGAAGCTCCTGTCACCAAGGCGACCTCCTCTCCACCGTTCGCTCCGCTGAAGTGGAAAGGGGTGGGAGGAGCTTCCACTTCCTTCTTAATTGTACAACATGGCGGCAGCCAGAGGGGGCCACTTTTGTTTGCCGCTCTAAGCCTCTCTACCTACATGTTGGAGAAGTTGGAGGGCGGGCAGGCAACTCTGACTAAGCCGTTTCGCCTTAGCCGTAAC